ACGTGAAGGGGTGGAAGTGTCGGGAAACACGCAGCATCTTGGGAAGCACTGAGACAAAGCAGGTCTGTCCTGGGTTCTCCAGAGAGGATCAGAAGGAGGGAAAGGGCAAGTTTGGTGGCAGAGGAATAAGTGGCCCCGGGGACAGGAGGTGTCTGCGGTGCCACAAACAGGAAGGCCTGGAGGATCTTGACAGCCTCCCTGCCCACAGCCTGGCCATACCAGTGGGCAGAACAGCCAAGCGCAGGGCTAAGCAGGTTGTCAAAACTGAGCATTGGAAGGATGCATTCCAATGTCAGAAGGGACACTGCCTGGCGGGAAGCCAGTTCCATATGGATACAGACACACGAGGATCCTTTGTAAGACCACTGGGGGTTGGGGAGAGGGAAGGTGGAGGAGAGGAGGAGAGGAAGACGCTGAGTCGGCTGGACTTCTCCCCTGACCGCTGTGAAGACCGGCTCAGGTGCAGCCTGGGCACCGTGCACACGCACACAGACGTTTCCGTGGCGCATGCAGACGCCTGTATCGTCACAACACGTGCCAGACACTAGGCTCCGTCCCCTCAGTGCCTGTTTACCCAGGAGGAGATGTGGTGTGCCACTTTTGTCTGTCCTCGGGAGGGAGCCCAGTGCCCCTGACCTCCGGCACCAGAGGAGACAGTTGCAGTGGGGGCTGGGCAGGAGCTGGGTGGGGTACAGTAGCCAGCCCCTGTCTGCTGGGTGGGCACGGTGTCCTCCATCGGCTCCTCCCACGGCTGCCCTCAGTCCCTGTTTCCACACTGTCTCAGCACCTGCCTTGGAGTCTGGGCCATTCTGAGGAATGATTTCCATGACCAGCAGCTGACCCCTCTCTGTAGGGTGGTAGCCATAGCTTCCGTATGAGTCTCCCCAGTTCTTTTTCAAATAACAGTCTTGCAAAGGGACCTAACAGTGGAGCATTTCCAGCCGGTAGAGAAGAGGTGGTCTGGGGTGGCAGAAGTTCCCCCCCAGCATTTTATCCCAGAAGTGGTTTCAAACTAATATAACAACAGTAATTCTCTGGTTCCCTTCCTTTGACATGATGTGACTTTGGATGGATGGATTTTTATCTCTAAGCCTCAGTTTCTTAATTTAAAAGACAACGCAAGGAAAAACCGCTCCGGCAACAAGGGAAGTCTTCCTGAAGGTCAATTTAAGGATGAAGGAAGATGTTTTGTGAATTCTGAAGGCACGGACAACATACGGACATCATTTTTATCTTGTCTCTCTGGAAGGCGGATTCTCAGCAGTCCATGCAGGTGAGAGCAGGAAGTCAATCAAGCCAGGAAAAGAGAAGAAATGGTTGCATCCTCCAGGAAGATTTGGAGTGAGTCCACAGAAAGGTCTGGCAGACAGCGGACTAGAAACGCAGGGAAGTCGGAGGCCAGCTGCCAGGGCCAGGCAAACCCGGGCATCAGTCCTCAGTGTCTGGCCAAGGAGGGGACAAGGATGTGACATACTTGGGAAGGGGGGAGGGCAAGCTGGTGCATGTTCTTGACATCAGATGGGGAGGGAGTCTCCTGGAGCCCTCCATGGGGTGCCTCCTCGCCACTCACTGATTTCACTGGCTCCAGAAGAACCCAGGCCCACGATGCAGCTGTCAGAACTGGAACATCCAGGTGGAGGCTGGAACGTCCAGGTGGCGGCTGGGGGACATGACAGAAGTCACCCACGTACTCCTGGCTGCAGAAGATGCTTTTGAGGTGGATATCTGGAAACATCTCTAGGATCACAACTGAAACTTCTGCTGCTCGTCTCTGAGATAGAAGATATTTGGATGCCTCCTCACTTCAATCCTTTTGCCGCCATATGTAAATGTTCTCTTTGTCGAAACCATGAGTGAAACACTGCGTGTGGAGGAGACAGAGACTTGGACAAACAGGGATTGGGCGCAAGATAATTGCTGGGCCTCAGAAGAAGACACTGAGGTACCCATTCAAACAGGCTGCAGGTTCAAGAAGGAAGGGACCCCACTTCTACCTTCTTAAATTTAAAAGGGTTTGTGGAAGAGGGGTTATTCCAGGAGGAGAGATGGAGACTGAACCCTAAGGGTTTGTCCATTAGTTTTGCCTTTTGAGTCTGACAACTGTACATCTGTGTGCTGACCCTTGCCTACATTGTTGCACTACACTGTAAGTTGCTCCTAGTGGGGAGGAATTTGGTTGCTGTGCAACCATATCTTTCCCGTGATGGTGTGTTGGTTTGTTTTCCATTGCTGTCATGAACTACCCAAGGCTGGGGAGTTTATAAAGAAAAGAGTCATGTTGGGCTGGTAGTTCCCGGCTCTGGAGGTCCAGGAGTGTTGCTGCCGCTGCGTTCAGCTCTGGCAGAGGCCTCGCAGCAGGTGCAGTATGTGGTGTGGGGATGTGTGGGCACTAACAGGGGCCCCACGAGAACTGCATTAATCCCACCTGATGGTGGTACCCAATGACCTGACCACCTCCAACTGAGTGTGACCTCTTAAAGCTCTGCCACCTCTTAATGCCACCACATCAGGGACCCCACTTCCCACATGCTAACCTTGGAGGATACATCCAAATCGCATCTAAACCAGAGCGCAGGAGAAAATCAAGAACTTCGAGCTTGCATTATGTCTTCCCACTGTTGGCCTGGTGCGTTCTGAACTCAGCACGTTCACTTTTTGCTCTTCCCATCTTTACCTAGTTACCTGGGGTCCTGTAGGAAACGTTTCCTCTTACATCATCACAGGAGGTTCGAGTTTATGAAAATGCTACTGAGCCAACGGGCGGGGTGTGTGGGAACGTGAGCCGAATGCAGTGCTCGGAGCCAGGTGCTTGTGGCCTCCGCCTGAGAAGGAGTAGCCCCTGCGCGGGGACTAACTTGCCCACCATCCTTTAGCTTCCACAGTGGGACTTCCAGTTCCCGGACCACCAGCCACAGGTGGACAGAGACTGGCAGGAACTCCCAAGTGGGGCAAGAGTCTTGGGTTAGTGCCTGGGAAAGACGCTGAGGGAACAGGAGATTGAAATCCCAGCCGAGACCGGCTCTGCGAGGGGCCGAGCCTCCTGCAGAACCTTGGCAAAGAGAGAGTGTGCATCTGGCATGTAGGAGGGACATCAGTAATGTTTGTCGTAGCCACCGCTGGTCAGATTCGACATGCTAGGGCTTGAGCTCATGGATCCAAGGTCCAGACAGGGTGGCTGCACTGAGAGGCAGTTAGACTTTTGCTCTAGGCAGGGTGGAGAGGTGAGGGCAGGAGCAGCTGTGCTCACCTGGGACTTGAGGAATCTTTGCGACTGAGTGGAAAGAAATTGCAGTGGTCACCCGGCTCAACCTCACCACCCCTGGGCTTTCCTGGTTGCACCAGCAAATGGCTTTTGTGCTTTTGTTAACAGGGTCGATAAGCCTCTATGGCAGGGAGTAGTTTCGGTAGATGGTTGCCCCAGCCTGTCTCCTTGATGTGTGCATGTCAGCAATCCTCTCTCCCTGAGAGAAAACAGGAACACTAACTCTTGGTGCCCTCAGACCTTGATGGTGTCCCCCTGGTCCCTTGGTCTTCTCTGGATGGTCCACCTCCACTGGCTCGTTTCCAGACTTCAGTCAACCTGGCATCTTCTCTGGATGGTTTCAGCTTATTGACCTCATTCTAGAAGCAGTGGCACCCCCACTGGCCCATTCCCCAGAGGTGGAGAGAAGGCTGCTTTCCAGAAGGACCATAGGAACCGGTCAGTGCTGTGTACACCCATCGCGTGGGCTGTCTCCAAGGAAGAAACCTCATGGTGGGGGGGCATGTGGAGCCCGCTGTCCAGTCACGGCAGCTGGGATGCAGGGAGAAAAGGCGCAGGAAAGATGGAGTCCCCAAAAGGCCAACCCGCTAGCCCAGCGCCACCTGCCTAACTTACCACCCAGTGGTCCATTCAAAATACTGCTCCACCCAATAGATCAACCCACTGGAAAATGAAATCCCTCACGATACGATCGTTTCCTAAAACCCACCTCTAAGCCTTGCTGCACTGGGGACCATGCTTTTAACACACAGGGCCTGTCCGGATTCGAGTGATAACAGAGTTAGAGAGGAACTGACCAGGAACCGGTGACACAGCAGGCTTTTCAGGTGAAATGTCACCGTAATTGAAAGAGAAGCTAAAGGGGAGTGTGTCCAAGGATTTTTGTTTAGTGATTTGAGTTAATATTCCCCAGATTTGGGAGCGAGACTGGTGGACAGGGTTAGTGGAGGAGTCTTCAGAGAGCAGAACAGGCTGACCTTCAGCAAGAAGCAGAGGGCTGGGACCCAGACTTCAAGGTTCACCCAGGGAAGGGGAAAGATCGGCTCCTTCTCTGGAGGCCAAGAGAGGAATTTGAATGAAGGCACCTTCCCCAGGGGTGAGGAGCAGCTAATGGATTTGGGAAGACTCCAGAAGAACCGCACTCTGGGGTCAGCTGAATTGGAGTGAGGGAAGGAAGGGGCGGAGAATGGAGTCATGGATAACTAAATTTCCAACTCACTTTACTGAGTGGACGGTGGAGCCACAGCTGAGCTGGGAATTATCACAGGAGAACAAGGCTGGGCCGGGGGGGTGCTGTGCCAGTCGATTCTGGAGCATATTGAGTTTCTGGTGCCTGTGAGGCAAGGACCAAGCTGGCCAGAGCCATCACCCACAGAAACTCCAGCCACACGTGGGTCCTCCTGTCCTGCCAGGTCTCGCCGACTGTGCGTCATGGTCTCTGATGACCGCAGTGTCCTTGTTAGTTCTGTGCTGTGTTTAGTTAAACCTGGTGTCTGTGTTCCTGATCTGATCACAAGCCAAGTAGCCACAAGACGCCTGCAGCCTGTGGCTGTCCTTCAAACCATGCAAGTGATGAAGATAGACAGGATCTGCAAGTCAGCCTCCAGGTCCATACAGACCCTACCTCAGGCTACCAGATGAGCTCCTCTGCCCACCAATGTCCCCTAGGATTTGCTGATTTGAAAAATCTGACCGTCCCAGCCTGTCTCCGTGCTGACTCTTGCCTTCTGTCTTTCAGATATACCAGCACTCCTACACTGGCTACTACGTCCTCAGCAAACTTCCTCACGGGTAAGACGCTGCTTCCCTTTTCTTCTACTTAGAGACCTACTCAGCCCCGAGATGGGAACTGGGCTCCCTGACCTCTGCAGGGAAGGGTCCTTGTGTTGCTGAATCTGGCGCCTTCCTCGTTCACTGCTAGAAGGGGTCACTTGGGTCCAGCTGCTGGCCCATTGTGAAGCCACTCTGCCCACTTCCTGCTCTGGTTCCTGCAGCCTCGAGGCTCCGCAGAGTGAGATTCCCCCTGCCTCACCATTAGGCACAGCCCGTGGTTGTCTTATGATGCCCAGGAGGCTCCCGGTCACAGCCACACTAGTGCCTTGAAGCTCCCACTGCACCCTGTGGCCTCACAGACATGCAGGACAGTCCATGAGGAGTGAGGAGTAAGAAGCCCTGTGCCTTCAGCTTTGCCTTATACCAGGCAGCCGTAGCCACAGGTTGGAAGAGCTGGCTGCCCAGCTGCCCCCTGGGCACGTCAGTTTGTGCATGGTGGAGGGTCCTTCTGGCATTGCGTTCCCAGAAGTGAGGTCTCAGTGCCCCCTTCTGACTGGGCCACCCGACTTCATGCTGCTTCTGCCTTGTATTGCACTGCTTGGCTCCTGGGTCTCTCGAAAATGCATGACTCAGAGCCTCAGAGTATATGTGGGAGGGCAGGATGGGAGGGCAGGACAGGAGGGCAGAATAGGGAGGGCAGAATGGGAGGGCAGGACAGGAGGGCAGGACAGGAGGGCAGGATGGGAGGGCAGGACAGGGAGGGCAGGACAGGAGGGCAGGACAGGGGGCAAGA